CCTGGGCATCCCTGTCACCTGTCACCTTTGTTTCCTGTATCCCATATTTTCTTTTCTTAGTTTACTTCTTTCTCTTTTTTTTTTTTTTTTTTTGCGATTTTTGGCCAAGGCTGGGTTTGAACCCGCCACCTCCAGCATATGGGGCCAGTGCCCTACCCCTTTGAGCCATAGGCACCGCCCTACTTCTTTCTTTTAATGGAGCACATCAAATAGTAGCTTCCTGAGAAAGAGAATTTAGAGGTAAATATTTTAAGAGTTCACCTATCAGGAAATTTTTTGTTTTCCCCTTTCCCATGGTTAATTGTTTGGCTGCTGATAGAATTCTAGATTAGAAATAATGTTCTTTCAGAATTTTAAAGGCATTTTTCTGTTGTCTTTTGGCTTCCAATGCTACTTCTGGGAATTGTGAGGCTGTTATCATTCCCAGTCCTTTAATCTGTAAACTTATGCCTGTAGTTCTGGAGACTTCGTGTGTCATCTGGTTGATGATTTCCTTCCCTCCATTTTCTCTCTCCTGACTTTCCAGAGCCTCTGAGTGCAGATGTCGGCCTTTTCTTGGATGGATTGCCTAACCTCTTACCTGCCCTTCTCAGCTTCTGTGTCTTTGCTTTTATTTTACTTCTGGGACATTTCCTCAACATTATTTTCAAATTCATCTATTGAGCTTTTTAATTTTTGGTGACAAGTTTTTAACTTTGAAGAGCTGTTATTTTTCTGAATTGTTTCTTTTCTTTGTGGTATTGTAACCTTTATTAACTGGTTCCAGTATCTTTAGCTCTCTGAGGACATTACTGATAGTTAATTTTTTTTCTTCGTACTTACCATTTTCCATTAAGAGCCTTCCCCTCCATTTTAATTTCTATCTATTTTTAGGTTTAGAGGTTTTCTGTAGAAATGTGCCATCTGCTTTCTGCTTGTGTGAATCTGAAGGTCTTAACATGTGAATCAGGTTGGTGTACCGAACTTTTTTGTAGACCTAGGTGGACTACTGTTTGAGAAGTCCCAGTATCAGTATCTTCAGGTCAGTTTGTCACAGGATCCATCAATCTTCACAGAGAACATTCTTCCAGTCTCCCTGGCATGTGGAGGATTAAGGGCTGGCTGCTGCATTTTAGGATCTGGGTGGAAGAAGAGAGATTGTGAGGGCAGGACAGAAGGGATGGTCTCAGCATTCATTACATACTTTTTCATATAATCCCTCTGCTTTTGGTATATACCACTGTCCTCAACAATGCTTTGGTATCACCCCTGCCAAACAGCCAGAGACCTTTTGTTTTATCTTTTCTAGAAAAGAAAATCCAGATGTCTACCTAAGTCATATGAAAGGTCAGATGCCCTCAAATTTCCTCTAATCTTTTTTTTGCCTCCTTCCACTTTCAGAGACTCCAGGCCATCAATACCTGAGCCTTGTGAGGTTTTGTTGGGGTTAATTTTGTTAGTTTTCAGCATTCCTTACTGTTAGTTTAGTATTCCGCATTTTCATGCCTGCTAAGTTATCCTTCTGCTTTCCATTCTCGAAGTTGTGTTGCTTTTGTCTCCTTTTCTATTCTCTATGTCCTTATGGATTTAAGCCTTAAAAAATCCCTTCGCTATATTTGTAATGGGGTTTTAGGAGGGAGCAAAGATGGATTCTTGTATTTAATCTACTTATTTGCTCTTCATCTTGCTCCTGCGTGGTTTTCTTCCCCATAATTCCCCACACTAATAGTGCTTGAACTGAGGTCCCCAGGGACGCCGGGCTTATGAAAATAATGTTCCTTTTTTCAGTCTTCATCCTACAGTGTCAGCATTTGAGAGAGCTGATCATTCCTTTTTTGAAATATATCTAATCTAGCCTTCTTTAAAACTATTATTTAAAAAAAAAACTTATAGTGATATAATTCTCATACTATGAACTTCACCCTTAGAAATAATTTTTACTCCATTCACAAGGTTGTGTAACCATCACCACTAATTCCAGAAGATTTTCACCACCCCCAAAGGAACCCTGAACCTGGTAGCAGTCACTCCCTTCCTCTTACTCCCCTCGGTCTTGATCCCTAGACTCTACTTTCTGTTACTATGGGTTTGCTTATTGTGAACATTTCATATAAATGGGATCATACAATTTATGGGGTTTTGTGATTGGATTCTTTCACTTAGGATAATGTAAAACTGATTTTTGCAAGTTAATATCATCTCCTCTACCTGACCTCTTCCTGGCCCTAATGCTCCCAGGCTCTGTGTCAGATTCTCTTCCCTTCTCTACCACTTTCCTTATAAGGGATCTAATCCATAAACCTACCTTTAAATAACCACATGTGCCAGTGACTCCATAGTCTGTTGTGTTGCTATAAGAAAATACCTGAGATTGGGCAATTTATAAAGAATGGTAATTTGTTGCTCATAATTCTGGAGGCTGGGAAGTCTAAGAGTAAGGTATCAGCAGATTCAGTATCTGATAAAGGCCTGTTACTCATAGATGGCCCCATCTAGTCGTCCACACATGGTAGAAGGGACTGAAAAGCAAAACAAAAAACAAAAACCACAGCTCGGTGCCTGTGGCTCAAGTGGCTAAGGCGCCAGCCACATACACCTAAGGTGGCGGGTTCAAATCCAGTCTGGGCCCACCAAACAACAATGATGGCTGCAACCAAAAAATAGCCAGACGTTGTGGTGGGCGCCTGTGGTCCTAGTTATTTGGGAGGCTGAGGCAGGAGACTCGCTTGAGCCTAGGAGTTGGAGGTTGCTGAGAGCTGTGATGCTATTGCACTCTACCCAGGGGAATAGCTTGAGGCTCTGTCTCAAAAAAAACAACAACAAAAAACCACCTAGTTCCCTTCAGCCTGGTTACAAGAGCACGAATCCATTCATAAGAACAGAGCCCAGAAGGCCTGATCACCTCCCAGAGGACATGCCTCTTCCGACTACTGCACTGGGAATTAAACTTGAACATGAATTTTGGAGGGGACACAAATATTCAAACGTTAGCACCTCCCAGATCCATTTCTCTCATCTCCACCTCTTCCCTGAGTGCTTGACTCACACAGTCGCTTGCCTACTTGGCATCTTTACCTAGATGACTAATAGACATCCCAAACTGATGATGTCCAAAACAGAATTCAGTTTTCCTCCAAGCCAAAACTTAATTCTCTTCTAGTGGATCTCATTTCATAAAATGACTCTACTATCCTCCAGTTGCTCAAGTAAAAAAACTTAAAAAAGTATATATTTGTGTATGTGATTATTTTAGTTCTTTTTCCCTCACTAGTCTATAAGCGCCAGGAAGGCAGTGACAGTGCCTGTGTGGTTCACCATTGTATACCCAGTGCTTAGCACAGTGCCCAGCATGTATCAATAATAGGCAAACAATAAATATGTGTTGAATGAATATACAAATACAAAAAAGAGGACACAATTTTTGATTTCAAGTTGCCTGTAATTTATTATTAGAGAAATCAGATATCTATGTGTAAAAAAGACTATTAAAAAGGTATAAAATTTAGTGTCAAAGCATTAAGTAGCAAGAATAATGCTTTAAGAGTTTTGAGCCAGGATGATTAGGAAGAACTACATGAAGACCAGACGGTAAGCATGAAAACATTTAGGTAGGTAAAGAACATTAGCATAATAGCATGCAGAGACCCAGAAGTGGAACTTCAGTTGGTTAGGGGATAATGAGGAGACCACTGCAATTTTAGAAACCACTGGAGAAAACAAGCCTTTCACTTTGGATAATTTGATTAAGGGACCTGTTGGGAGGTAGGAAGAAGTATAATATTCCAGCAAAGGGAAAGACCTCTGTAACGGCTATACTGATACATAGATACCCAAAAGAATTAGGTGTTTTATATTTAGTATTTTGTATGGGTGTCAGTATAAACAAAATTATATTAAATGTAATTGTAAACTTTTGGCACAAAAATGATCAGGAAAATTTAATCTGATTTTGAAAATTAATTTTGTTTGCAGCTGAAGAGCTCACTTACTATGCTTCAGAAAACTTTTGATCTACTAAATAAGAATAAGACTGGCATGGCTGTTGAAAGCTAGCGATTTTAAGGACTGAAACTGTAGAGATACTTGGAACTAAAAGAAAACAACTGGAAGAAAACCAGTGGATGAAGGATTTTGCCATAGGGATATTTCTGTTTTCTCATTAAGATTTCTAATGTGAACATTCTTCTTTTCAATAACATTTATATGATAATCTCTGATGGCCTTCACATTCTATCCTTTCACTTACACATATTTTTTTAAGCTGTGAACTTCCCCAGTGAACCATGAGATATATTGTGCAATTGAATTTCTATGATACAAACAGAAAATGTGAGTGGTACAGTCTCATTTCTACAATGAGGCTTGACGTATTATCTGGTAGCGCAAAATCAATATGGGTACGATAGGCTGCTTCGTTAAGTTGAATAAGCTCAAGAGGCTAAAGAAGAGAATATAAGAAGAAACCTCTACATCATTCCTAATTTTAAAGGATCAGTTTTGGGGCATTAGATCATAACATTTCGGGTTTGTGTACTCTAATTATTATAATGTCTTCATTTATTTGGCATGCAAATTCAAAAGTCAAACTTTTGAATCTGTATGTTGTTATTATTATCTGAAAGGTTCTTCAACCATCTTGTCCTATCTTTATGAGAGTTGTTTTCTCTTGGGTAGCTAGCTACCAGACAGCTACCAGAGGTGAGATTATCTTGCCTCCTCATACATCAAACGGTAATAGAGTCAATTTAGGAGAAGGACACATGTAGGATACCAGGATTCAAAATGAAGAACCATCCATCCTCTGAGTTTTCAAAACCAGAAGACTGTGTTAAAATCAGGGTATTTAGAGACAGATCAAGTGCTTTATTAAACTAAGCGTAGCTGTAGTTTAGCAACCTTTCAAGGTAGAAATGATCCATCAGGTTGAAAATCTGTCTTTGCGGTACCATGTATGGTTTTATTGTTTGCATTTGCCTGTGGCTTGTTTTCGTTGGTAAGTTATAAGCCAGACACAAGCTTTGGCTCTTTCA